GGGCAGCACTGCGGGGGAATGAACTCCTGGGGCGGAGCAGGGGGTGCAGAAACGACGGTGAGGTAGGGATGCCAGGGGGCTAGTGGCCTCTGGGAAGTTTAGCGCCCAGCTGTACAGTGCCGGAGGCGCCTGCGGTACGAAGGATGGTTAAATCTTTGCACTCCTTCTACGTTCCCGGGAGCTGAAAAGCTTCATCTGCCTGGACTGGAAGCTCTGCCCTTCCCCTGGCCGCTCCTAGCCTGCACAGCCGTCCATTTCCCAAGTAATGAGAATGGAGTTCGTGGGAGTCCCCGCCTGATGATTTATCCGGGTCACAGAGAGGACAGCCGGCTAACTGAGGTTAACAGCTTTCTTGGGTTCATTTCAGAAAGACATTAGCATGGGGCTGTATTAAACAACGATGTGCCAAATCCTGATTCATGCCCCTGGCGAGCTCCCTGTCAGGCAGGGGACCCAGCTGACGGGCAGGGCTGCGCTGCTCGCCTGGGGGGCAGGCCCATAATTCATGCTCCTGGTGCTCAATTACACCTGACCTGCCAGGCCGTGGCTCCGGTACCTCACCAGCTGAAACAGCCCTGGGTGGGCAGCCCCGAGCCTTTGCCAGTCAGGAGTCAGCCCCCCCCCCCCCCATCGTGAGACAAGCTTCAAAACAACAACTTTAAACAAATGGGTGTTTCTCACCTGCCGCCCCCCCCCCCCCGTTTGCGTGTGATCAGCTCAGGGTCACAGCCTGGCCTCACCGACACAACCAGAAACACAGGCCTCCCTGACAAGAGGGGACCCTTGACCTCTGCTCCCCCTGGGCTACGGGGAGCTGCTAGCCTTGCCTCTCAGTGCCCCTCATGCCCACGCAGCTGCCCCCTCATATTCTCCCTCTGGGCGACTCCATGGTCTTCTGCCCCCCACCTGTTGGTACATTCACTGCCCTATTTCCCTCCCTTTTCCCTCAGTCTCCTCCACTTCATGCTATCCCCTCAGCCTCTGCCCTCCCCTGTACCCCCATCTTCCTCCTGCTCCCCCTCACACCCTGCACCCCCAAACCTCCGCCTGCTTCTTCCCCTGCACCTGTGTACCCCTCCTTCCCCTACACACTAAACCCTTCTCTACTTCCCCTGCACCCCCATACCCCCGCCTGCTCCCCTTCCTTCCTCTGCACCCCCAGTCCTCCGCCTGCTCCCCTTCCTTCTTCTGCACCCCCAGTCCTCTTCCTGCTTCTTCCCCTGCACCTGTGTACCCCTCCTGCAGTCCCTCCTTCCCCTACACGCCCATACCCTCCCCTACTTCCCCTGCCCACCCAAACCTCCACCTGCTCCCCTTCCTTCCCCTGCACCCCCATACTCCCGCCTGCTCCCCTTCCTTCCCCTGAACCCCCAGTCCTCTTCCTGCTTCTTCCCCTGCACCCATGTACCCCTCCTGCTCCCCTTCCTTCCCCTGCACCCCCCAGTTCACCTTCTGCCCTAACATTCCCCAGCTCCCCCTCAGGCCATCTCCTACACCCAACCTTCCCCTGCACTCCTTCAGTCCGATTCCTGCCCCCTATCTCCCTCTATGCCTCCTTGATCTGCCTCCTCCCCCCAGCTAGTCCTTACCTTCTTTTTAGTAACAGGTCTATTTACATGATCTCCATTACTACTCAACTGTCCTATTTCTAACAAGCTTGTCTTCCATGCACTCAGGCTGTCTTACCGCTAACATCTGCTCAAGCCGATGGCCTCGTAGAGCCTCATTCTCTCCTGCTACCTGGGCCAGACACGCATTACACTCCCCAAGCTGAAGAGAAAGGGAAACATATTAGACATTCAGCTCCACCTTAGAATGGCTTTACTGGGTCAGACCAAAGGTCCAGATAGCCCAGTGTCCTGTCTTCCGACAGTGGCCAATGCCAGGTGCTTCAGAGGGAATGAACAGAACATGGAATCATCAGGTGATCCATCAAGTGAACACTCATCATCATACCAACAAACCAACTGCACGTCTCTGCAAACCAGTGGCAAGTGCCACTCTCATGTGTCCTTAACACAACTCACACATCCCCCTATTAATCAGTCCTTGAAGGCTCTGTCATACAGGAAAAAGGGGTAAACAGCAAGGTGGTTAAGTTTGCAGACAATACTAAATTACTTGCGATAGTTAAGCCCAAAGCTGACTGTCAAGAGTTACAAAAGGATCTCACAAAACTGAATGACTGGCAACAAAATGGCAGATGAAATTCAATGTTGATATAGTAATGCACATTGGAAAACATAATCCCATATAAAATGACGGGGTCTAAATTAGCTGTTACCACTCAAGAAAGAGATCTTGGAGTCATCGTGGCTAGTTCTCTGAAAACATCTGCTCAATGTGCAGTGTCAGTCAAAAAACTAATCGAATGCTAAGAGTCATTGGGAAAGACAGAAAATACCACAATGCCACTATATAAATCCACGGTACGCGTATACCTTGAAATACTGCGGGCAGTTCTGGTCGCCCCAACTGAAACAGGGTAGATTAGAATTAGGAAAGGTGCAGAGAAGGGCAACAAAAATGAGAGGAGTGTGGAGCAGCTTCCACACGATTAAAAAGACCGGGGTTGTTCATCTTAAAAAAGAGACTGCTAAGGGGGATATGAAAGAGGTCACTAAAATCATGAATGCTGTGGAGAAAGTGAATAAGGAAGTGTTATTTACCCCTTCACATAACACAAAAGCCAGGGGTCACTCAATGACATTAACAGGCAGCAGGTATTTCTTCACACAGTGCACTGTCAACCTATGGAACTCATTGCCAGGGGAGGTTGTGAAAGCCAAAAGCATAACTGGGTTCAGAAAAGTATTAGATAAGTTCATGGAGGATCAGTCCATCATTGCCTGTTAGCCAGGAGGGTCAGTGATACAACTCCATGCTCTGGGCGTCCCAGAGCCTCTGACTGCTGGGACTGGATGACGGGATTATTCACTCGATAATTGCCGTTCTGTTCTCTCTCTCTGATGCAATACAGCACCCAGGCATGGAGTTAGGCCAGCACAATGGTAAATAATGCAATGAAGTGAACTCTGCTCTAGTTAGGACCTACAACCCTGCAGAATGCTCCGTGCACCTTGGATTCCAAGGCCTGACCAGTGCAATGGTTCTGCAGCAGATTCAGTTTGCCAGGTTATCCAGTGCCATAACTGTGCTCGGTGCTTTACAGACACGTAAGGCAACAAGGTTCCTGGCCAATGGTGCTTACAATCCAAATAGGGCAGATGATAATGAGAAACGACTGCAGACCTTGGGGCTCAGGGATGGGAGGAGGAAGACATCAGAAACAGGCCATACAGCAGATCATATCCCTTAATTTGTGTTGTATATTACTTATTTTCCTAGCTAGCTATGTGAGATGTTTTTTTATGGTGCCTATCACCATTGGGTCTGAACTGAGACTAAACAGAAATGGGGTTAGCTGTGTTGGTTCCCGTGCAGATAGGGCTGTTTGAATGGTATGCTGTTCTTCCTCCTTGTTAGTGCTCTCTGGTGCCGTTCCAGGTGAAAGTCTGGTTTCAAGCGGGAGGGGTGCGGGCCTTACATAGTCTTACCTGTTCTTGAGAAAACACAAGCTGCTTCCTTCCCTCCACCCCCCTTTCAGGTGAACAAGAGAAGAAACGAAGCTAAGTCCAACCCAAGCAAATTCTGCAGCCCCATTCCACCCTGTGTCACAGGCTTGTCCTCACGAGTCTGTGCCAACCTTCCAGCTCCGATCCCTTTTCTAGGGACCTTCCGGCCTCCCTCCTCTCCAGTCTCCAGTTCTCTAGCCTCACCTCACCAGGGTCCCAGACAATGAAGCAGGCATAAGGTCTGCTCCAAACTCTCCCTGCTTCTGATTCTCCAAGGTCATTAGTATTGTAGCCACAGTCCCGTAGCAAAGTCTGCTTTCTGGACTTGTCTATGTCTGACTGTCCAGACAAATTCTGCACCCTCTACTCTAGGCATCCCAGAAACGTCCCCAGCCAGGGACAGTCTCTTCAGGGCTTCTCCCTAGCCAGTCTGCTTTGTTACCTCTTCCCAGTTCTGTTCTCCTGGCAGCGGTTCTCAAACTTTTATACTGATGACCCCTTTCACACAGCAAACCTCTCATTGCAACCCCCTTTATAAATTAAAAACACTTTAAAATCTATTTAACACTATTATAAATGCTGGAGGCGAAGCGGGGTTTGGGGTGGAGGCTAGCAGCTCACGACCCCGCATGTAATAACCTCACAACCCCCTAAAGGGGTCCCAGTTTGAGACCCCCTGTCCTAAGGGCTCCGTAACAAAGCCCACTCCAACATTCCCTTTCTGTGTGGCCTACTCTGAGGCCTCTTGACCAGACAGAGACAGAACTCTTGTCCCTTTCCTCATCTCTCTCAGTAGAGAACGCTAAAGCCTGCTCCTTTCCAAGCTCCTTCTAGTCTCTTCACTGGAGACACCTACCAACAGCTCCTGCTCCCTGCAGATCTCTTTCCACTTGGAAGGAAGGGAGTTGTTTCTGTTCCCTCGCTACCTTTCCCAGCATTCCTGCCCCCCCTTACCCCCAGGGACCTTGCTACAGGAACAGGATAGGGGCGGACCATGGACTTGCAGATAATCTGATCTCTTCTGGCAGGATTTCCATAGTTGTGGTCCTGCCCTGAGAATGCTCTGTCCCATGCTCTGTGTAGGGTGTAGAGCTCTGGCATGCCAGTGCAGCGAGGTGTCTGAGCATGCTCCAAGCTTGAGAGATGAGGTGCAGGATTGTGAACCCTGTTGGGTTAGGTTGGGGCCCCCCTAGGAGCAATGAGTCCTGGAGTTATTGGCCTGTTTTCATAAATTCAAAGATTTTAAGGCCTCTATAATCATCTGGCCTCTCCTGCTACATAGCCTTGAAATTTAGGACAAGAAGCCTGAACCTGACGCTGCGAAGGAGAGGGATCCACAGATGGTGATCTGGTCTCATGGAGGTTAAAGAAAAGGGGAGAGAATACTGAGCCATGTGGTGCTCTGGAGGGATGAGGGGGCACAGGCCCAAACATGGCAAACTCTGTCCAATAGGAATGATTAGAGCCAGCACAGTGCTGTCCTCTTCACTCCCACAAGCTCTCCTGTGTCCCATCAATGCCACATGATCAGTGGCTTTATCCTTGTTCTGTGTTTGCTTTGTATTTTGTGGCGAGCACACGGGCAGGGCTAGGAAGCACTGAGTGGAGCTGAGCGAAGAACAATTTGTGGAGGGCTCTGCAGGAGCAGAGGAGGATGGTTCACGCAGAGAGAGAAGGAAGTGCTCCAGGCATAGAGGGCACTGTGAAAACAAGCACAGAGACACACGTGGGAGGGAAGAAAACAATAAGCATCAGAGAGCCAGGAGAGAGCAGAGCATAAAGTGCAAAGTGAGGGTAGGAGACAGGCTGAGTGACACCTTTCCTAGCTCAGGTGGCATTCCAATGCTACTCAGACTCGCCAGAACTGCCAGAGAGGGGCTGGAAGGTGTGATCACTCCAGCCCCACAGGTAGCCCTGGAAAGGGGAACCAGTCCCGGCAGCTTTAGCTGAATGGCCAGTTCAATTAAACATGGAGCTGGAATATGATGAGCCCCATGCGACCAAGACGATGGGGAGCCCCCGGCCTGGGGCCCGGGATGGCAGGGAGCCCCCAGCCTGGGGCCCGGCCCCGCAAGCCTAGGAGGGCAGGGAGCCCCCGGCCCGGGGCTGGGACAGTCTGATGGGATCACTGGTGGAGCTGGAATGCAGAGATCACCTTACTGATTCTGAAGGCTTGAACTCCAGGCAAACCTCCATGTTTGTGGCCAATGACACAAGCAGCAGCACTTGGTTGGGAGTTTCACAGCATAAGGCTCTTGGCACCCTGACTGTAAGCTGGAATGGTCCCCTTCCCCTTCCCCTGTCACACCACACAAAGGAGCCAGCATGTGTGAGCCATGAAGGGCAGAGGGAGCAGGGAACGAGACAGAGCATCAACATCCAGCCTGATTCCGCCCCCGGCATACACCGACACAGACTCACACTTACAGACAGATGCACAAATAGAGAAACGTGCACACACGGATACACTCACAGACTCACACACATGCAAACAGACACATTCACACATCTTCACACAGTACATGCCCCAGAGCTACTGACAACCGGAGAGCAGGGCTGCTCTCCACCCACGTTTCTGTATACGCCCCCCCATGCACGACTTGACAGCAGGAGGAGCAATATCCCGTTACACTCCAGCCCAGGGCCAGAGCAGTATTGCAGCACCACCAAGCTACTTGAAACAAAACAAATTCCATTTTCCGCTAAAACTCTGAAATGCTGCCATGTTCTGGACAATCCCTGCCGTGGTTAGCTCACTCCTGTCCAGCAAGCAGGGACCTGATCCTCTGGGGTTTAATCTTCCAGTATTCAGAGCGATTTCCTTATCAGTTTGTTACACAGGCAGACAAATTGCTCAGGCTTATGGGATGCTGAAAGAGAGCTGCAATGGTCCAATGGGTCACATCGTCAGGTTCAGCAAGTAGTCCTGCAGTGCACAGTGGGACCAGCTGCGGACTTTCCGCACTGGCTACCATCACACCAGTGTCCACTTGCCATATTGATCCAAATGACAGCTGTGGTCAATACCCTTCACAGCTACGGGCACCTGACAAGCCAGCAAGCGTGGAACTCCACGGCTGAGGTGCCTGTGGAGGCAGTAGGCACGCCCTCCCCACTGTAGTCACACACAGCAGGAATAAATTGTCTAAGCAAAGCGGTTAACTCCTGGCAGACTCTGAAGCACAGAGCCTGCTAATAGAGATCTGTAAGGACAGGAAACCCAATGGATACAGGAAGGGGAGGAGAAAATGCTAAAAGGGGACCTTGGGGCTACAAAGGAGCTAGGCACAAATACTGCCAAGCAGAGAGGCTGTTGCCAGGGTCTGCAGAAGCGTTGGGACAGTTTCATTATAAGGATGTGTATCTTCTGAAGCAAATTCAAGATTTCTATCCCAGGGAGCCAAGACCAATACATCTGAACAAGCCTCATCCTGACTCTCCGTTTACTGCTGGTACCACCCATTAGGACAGCTCCTTCCCAGGGGTGCAGTCCCTCTCCTGTCCTCCACAGGGCCACCCGATTCCTCACTCTGAGAGGATTTGACAGCAGGATGCAGGGATCAATACCTAGGACATCTGCTCAATTGCAGCCGCTACCCCTGGAGTCAGGGTTTGGGCAGAGTGCATCTCTGCAGCTAGCAATGCAGCGGTTTCTCTCCTTGGTTTCCCATGCTCTCCCTTCTTCACTGGGAGCCTCCATTTTCAGGTCTTTAGCCCTTTCTCATACTGCATCATTTGCATGAGAATAGAAGCATGTCACTGCTGCTGGTTTAGGTTGCTAGTGCATTAAATAAAGTTACTAGCCAGGCCTATAGAGCTGGAGCTGGAGTGCAGTCTTTCTTACCTGCCTCTGGGATTCCTCCTGTAGCCTGCCGCTGGCCTCCAGGTCTTGCTCGAGCTGCTGGATCCGGCTGCATTTCTGCTCCAGTTCTGCCTGCCTCTCCGTCTGCTTGGTCTGCAGTTGATAGATCCTCTGCTCTTGAGCATCCAGCTATTGACCCGCCCAGGGAAAGAAAGAAAAAATGGAAAAAAAAATCAATTAATACTAAACGGCTTAACAAAACCCTGAACAGCACAGGCCTGATGCTACTGGGGGTGGGGACTGAGGGGAGGAGAAACACCCCCCCACTAGCTGCAAGAACTTGATGTTCTGGGGACAGGAAGCCAATATGGTAGGTGCGATTTGCTAGCACTGCCAGCCGCAGTACTGACATGTCCAAGTCAGGGGAGGCAGGGAGCTGCAGACACTCCGCTGAGGGACATTTGCCCTCACCCCGTCTCCGGGGGAAGCTCTACGGAGCCTGGACGAGGGACAGAAATAGAAGGCGATGGCTCAAACACGACGTATTTAAAGAAACAAACAAATAGCTGCCAGCGCTGGCTACGTGTTGCAGCTCCAGGCGGCTCTGCCCTGTGCGACGGAGCGCGTGGACACTCTCCTCTGGCATGGTCTGTACAGAGGAAAGAGAAAGGAGGGCCTTGGTACCTCGGTGGCCAGCACATCCCTTTTGTCCTGCAGGAGCTGGCTTTGAAGAGTCTGGATTTTTGCATCTCGGCGTTCCAGCTGGAAAACGTTTACATGGAGAGGGAGAAAGGAAGAATCACGAATGCCAACCAGTGAGCAATGATCAGGACAGGACTAAAGCACTGATCCCCAAAGCTAACTGTGTGCAGGCCCCATCACTGACCGGCGTCTCAGCTGCTGGGGACTTTCTCTGGACAGGCAAGGTGGAAGAGGTGGCAGTAACTGCTTCCTCTCTGCAATGGCCAGGCGTGACTTCGGTCGCTGGCAGAGCAGACAGCAACTGGGAGGCAACAGATTTTGCTGGCCATAGATCCGGAGAGGTTTTTTTAAACTCAGCATTGGGAAATCCTCTGCAGTGATTGGTCAGTAGCGTGGCGATATCCTGATATGACAGCTGGGGTTGGAACCACTTTTGTTCCTTGTCCCTTTCCACGGGTGATATCAACACACCTCATTTATTGGGGCCTGGGCTGGCCCAGAGGAGTGCTTGTTTTAGGAGAAAATGGATTATCCTCCATGATCTAGTAAGGCTAAACAAATAATGCACATTAACTAAATACAGTAACAGCTTCCCAAGCACCAGGCCACTTGAGAGGAGAGACATGGGGTTTGGAAAGGACGTGGCTGCAGCATCCTCCCACTGGAAATTAGCCATGCAGAGCTCCTCCTGCCACAACTTCTCCCACTCTCCTGTCTCCAGCAGGGAAGGATACAGGAAGCTTCAGCCTCACGAAGCTCACCCACTCAAAGGCTTCCCACACAGAGAGGGCCCCAGGCTCGCTCAACCACAGAAATCTCTTCCTAGAGCCAGTGAAGAACAAAGGCCTGGACAATTCCACGAGCGCTGAAATGCCCAGGTCCCTGCATACTTGATTCTTGTCCAGAGCGCCTCCTGCAGAACCCACAGCATTCTCCGGGTCCCCCACCGTGCTGTATGGCCCAGAGCTGCCCCCTTGGACCCACAGCCACTTCCCAGGTCCCCACTGCCCTGTATAGCCCAGAGCTCCCCTGCAGAGCCCACAGCACCTCCCTGGGTCCCCCACAACCCTGTACGGCCCAGAGCTCCACATGGCTGAACCCAAACAGAGAACAGTGGGGGACAGACAGCCCAAAGAGCAGTGGCGGAAGGGGGACGTGGAAATAGGCAGGCTTGCGTCTGCGACAGGAATCAGATTCTCTCCCCCAGACGTCAGGAGTCAGCCTCGGCTCACAGAGCTGTAACCAACGGCACTGTTAAGGAAGCTGCACGTCTGTGCTGCAAAAGCCTGCTTGTGTCTGGAAGGGGCGCAGCACCAGATGGGCTCCAGTTGCTGCCCTGAACCCTGAGCCCTCGGTGCAGGTGCCTTACAAAGACGTGCCTAGCAGCTCAATCAGCTCCATACCTGGGATTTTTGTCTGTGTCTGGCTTAGCCAATGTCTGGTCTCACACAATGAGCTCACTAGTGATTCCTGCTGAACATGCAGGCAGTCTGCACCCTCCCTTCCTGGCACGGCTGCAGGTCGGTACACAAAGAGCAGAACTCAAAGCTTTTTGCACTGTCCTGCAGACAACATGGTGGGGGAGACGCAAGCTGCAGAGGCATTGGCTATGGTGCTCCCTTTGTTCATCACCTTCCACCTCACCATTATTACTGGAAACAACGTGTAGTCAGTAGCACCTAGAAGCTTGACCCAGGCCACTGTGCCAGGCACGGCACATACCCAGAACAGGGAGTTTGTGCCTTCCTCTGCACTGCCCCAGATCTGGCAGCCTCAGACCCTTTTGCCCCAGGGCACTACGTGCCAAACACCTTCTCTTGAAAACCCACTCCTGGAAGCCCTCAAAGGCAAATCCATGTCAGTATTGTACCAGCACTGCTCCAACTCTGCCACGCTTCCCGCTGCCTCCCCTGAGGTATTCCCAGTTAGCGTTACCCTCTGGGGGCTCCCAGGCTATCCTGTCTGGGGCAGGCCCGGTGCGTTACAAACAGGCCCACCTGGCTGCCCACACTGCCCCCTCCCCCTCCGAGCCCACTCAGTCACCTGCACAGCAGTTGACGAGCTCTGGTGAAACCTAGCCAAACCCTATGAACACGTTGGAGACGGCCTTGAATACACCCAATGGCTAAGATGCGTTTAATTAGTAACTATCTGACTACATCTAGCAGAATTCATATAATAATTAAATGTTAATTGATTAATAAAAATATATTTACTGAAAACTGTCATCCAGTTGTCAACATTCAATAAATACATTCATAATTAATTTGAATATTAGTAACATAAAACTATTTTAATATCTAAATTAAATCTGTAATGGAGCCACCACCACCACCATCATAATATATGGAGATAGGTCTATCTCCTAGAACTGGAAGGGACCCTGAAAGGTCATTGAGTCCAGCCCCCTGCCTTCACTAGCAGGACCAAGTACTGATTTTTGCCCCACATGCCTAATTGGCCCCCTCAAGGATTGAGCTCACAACCCTGGGTTTAGCAGGCTAATGCTCAAGCCACTGAGCTATCCCTTCCTCATATTGTGCCTTCCTCAAAGCTGTAAAGCTTTAGTGCTGCACTATGCTATACATGCACAGCCCATTACAACCACAATGGGAAACGGCTGGAGTTGCACAGGTAAGCACTCAAAACCCAGCAAATGCTAAAACCCTAAATGGCGCCGGGGACGCCACTGTGTGTGTGTGTGTGTGTAAGTCTGGGCTTGTGATCTACCAACCACCTCTGTGAGCAGCCAGAATCGGAGAAGACTTGCGACATGGGGGGCAATGTGGAAAAGGCAGTTCCTGGGACAGATGCCAGGCTGGCAGGCCCCTAGAAACATACAGGATTTCCTTTTATTTTGACTAACTAAGCCAAGGCTCCGCATCTAGATGATCTTGAGCTGGGTTAAGCACTAGATATGTTCTGCAAGCTAGTTCTTTTAATATGGTTTTCAGTCTTTTCCGAATCCCAAGACCAAATCCAGCCAGTGGGGTGACTTGTACAGAGTGACCCAAAGAGAGAAACCACCCCTAGAAGGGAGGGCTTCTGACGTCTCACCCTATTCAAAGGCCTTGATCAGAAGGGCATCGAAGAGGGGACCCTCCCTCGGACCACTTGTTGCGCACAAGGAAGTGGTTCTGACAAACACAAGGCAGGTGGGGATCAGCCTTTCCAGACGACTGTCCCCATTTCAGGAGTTGGATTGGTCTTGCGTACCCCCCGTTTCACCTCATTTAAAAACTGCTGGCTTATAAAATCAGGCATAAAAATACAAAAGTGTCACAGCACGCTGCTACTGAAAAACGGCTGACTTTCTCCTTGTTACTATATAATGATAAAATAAATCCACTGGAATATAAATATTGTACTTACATTTCCGTGGGATTCTGAGCCTGTTTTTCACCTGCCTGAAGCCCAGGCCCTGCCGCCCTGGGGCTGAAGCATGTAACTTAGCTTTGCAGGGGGCCCCAGGCAATTGCTCTGCTTGCGACCTCCTAATGCCAGCCCCCTAAACCCATCCCAGGGCCGCCCGTGGGGCTGCATACCCCAGGTCGAGAAACACTGATCTAGATGAGTGGAGTACCCCCGGGGTACATGTACCCCTGGCTGAGAACCACTGCCACAGAGGACACACTGATTTAGTGGGCGCAGGCACCAGCCTCATCATGCATCCAGCAAAGTCAGGCCTGGTCCACCAGACTGTGGCGTTGGACCTACTCTGTCCTTTCTTGCATGTCACAGGCCTAACGAACATCCTGCGGTTTTCTGGAGGCCTGGCCAAATCACAGGGCCAAATACCAGCCGTGATTAGAGGCCTGGAGAGAGAATGAACAGACTGGAGTTTTTACCCAAGAGGAAGAGGAACAGGAAAGGGGATATATTTGAGGGATACATAATAAAGAAGGCCGTAGAGGAAGTAGCACATACACCTCTCTCATAAGACTAGGACAAGGGGACTGTCCACAACCCTCAAAGGATCACACTGAACATTGAAAAAAGAATTACTTACGAACACAACACAAACGACCCATGGAACTCACCCCCACCTGATATCATTCAGGCCGAGAGCCTAGCAGGACTCTAAAAAGGAGAGGACATTTGGATGGATGATGGGACTAGCCAGTGTCACATGAAAGAGTTAAACTGCCCCGGGACTCCTGCTTCAGAGCGTCTGAAGGAACATGGAGATGGAGCATCTCCCTCAGCAGGACAGTCCTGTGCCTTGAGGCTCTTTCCTCCTGCTGCACTGAGGCGTGAGGGCTTCAGCCGTGTTCAGACCAAGTCTCCTCTGAGGGTTAAGGGAGCCTGCATGGGAGAGGACTAGCTGCCTTTTGTGGCAGGCAGGGTGGAGTCTGGTAACAGCAAGTACCTCACCGACTCCTTATTCCGGGGAGGCGGGGCACATTTCAGCTACAGCTCCCAACAAGCTAGCCTCACAGAGGTCAGGTTAGGGTGCACCAGCTGGGGCATTGAGCTTTATCTCCCAGACTTTCCGTGCTGTGCGTATCCTACTCCTTTGGCAAGCAGAATAATGCACCTGTGGCCTCACATGTGGACTGTGCGAGGAGAGGGGTTACCACAGCTGCTCTCCCTTACCAGAGTCTGTCCCACGGGGCCACAGGGCAGGGGGGTGCAGGTACCATTTCGGTCAGAGTGTATCCTGCAGCACTGCTGGCCTGGGACAGCCTGCCCCTCTCCTGCCAGCCAGGCACAGGAACAGCCCCGTGCTGCCCACCTTCCCCTCAGAAACAGGAATCCATTTGCTTGCTGCAGGAGAGTCGGTGGCATGTTTAGGGCGAACATTCCCCCCACTCCCCTTCCTCTCTCATTTAAGTGGAATCAATTGTGCCATTTCTGCTTTGCTTTTCAAAAGCAATTACTTTCATGTCATTTCTACAGACATTCAGAGAGAGCGAGCGAGCGAGGGCTTGATTATCCATCCCCACCCTCGTCCTGTGGCTTCCGCAGCGGCGGCGAAGTATTAAATGAAATGAGGTGTCTATGGAGCTGCGATGGTTTCAGGTCAGAGACGCTATGGAAAGCTGTATGCTGCTCTGCTC